TCCAGGGTGATCCGATGCCCTCTTCTGACCTCTGCCAGCATTGTACAACACTGGTGCACTTATATACATGCAGGCAGTATACTCATATGCATAATATAAAATAAAAATAATAAATAAAATATTAAAAAGGAAAAAAATTTAAGACTACAGTAAGTGACTGACAGTACCAAGTATAGGATACTTGAGTGAGGACTGAAATAAAATTGTGAGACTTGGATTAAAGATAGTGACCTTAAGGATAATGGTGATGATGATATACTAATGAGACATTTACTATATGCACCAGTCACTCAGCTGAGTCATTGCATGTATTGCTTCATTTAATTCTAACAGCCACTAAGGCAGACTATTATTTCCTTTAGTAGATACAGAATAGCCCAAAGAAATATTCCTAAAATTGTCACACAGTGATTGGCAAAGTGTGATGCCAAGGCATAGTATCGCTAGAGTGGGAATTCTTCCATGAAATATACCCAACCCTCCATGAGGACTGTATATGTAGAGTCAAATGTCGCATCAGACAAAAACATTTGAAAGTAAAATTTCATCTGTACTGAGCATGAACATGTTTTTTTTTCTTGTTCCCTAAACAGTACAATTTATCAACTATTTATATAGTATTTACATTATATTTGGTATTATACTATAGAGATGATTAAAAGCATATAGAAGGTATACATAGAATACATGCATTTATACACCAATTTATATAAAGGACTTGAGCATCTGCAGATTTTTGGTATTCATGGGGCATCTTGGAACCTGTTCTATGAAGAACCTGAGAGAAGAAGGACGACTGCACTAAGAGGATCAATTGATGACCTGCTCTGAGTATATTTGGTTTGCTAGTATAGTACTTAACAGAATATTAAAACCATGAATATCCTTTAGCAGAAACTCCGAGCTTTAAATTTGTGAGAGTTTTTTAATTGAAATTGACTTCTAGTCATTAATAAGTTATTTCAATAAATATTTCCTGATTGTCCAGTGCTAGGCTTTGGACCATAGAATAGATGTAAGCAATAACAAGGTAAGAACCCTAGTATGATGGACACTTAATTGAACAATATACAAAAATATGTGTATATGCATACACATACATACAGTGCCAAGTGAAGATGTGTGCTCAATGGTGGTGATGTATGCTAAGGATAAAAATATATCAGGGTAGTGGGGACAGGAGTTGATAGATGATAGTATATTATATTGTTTGCACTAGCAGTGAGGCCAGTAGACTTTTTCATGACAAATGTGCTACACTTCATGGTTTATTCTAGGGAGGAAATGGAAACAGTAGATCATATGTTGTAGAAAAATGAAAAGGTACATAGGAATAGAAAAACCATGAGTCAAAAGGAGGAATTCCTTCTTTTCCTTGGAATGAATAATATGAATGTGCTTAAAGGTAAGCCAGACCCAGTGCCATAGGCCTGTGATCCCAGCTACTTAGAAGGTTGAGGTAGGAAGATGTTCAAGGACAGCCTGACAGCTTAGTGAAGCCCTGTCTCAAAATAAAAAGTAGAAAAAGGACTGTTGTTTAGCTCAATGATAGAGTGCTTGCCTAGCTTGTATGATGCCCTGGGTTTGATTGCCAGTGCTGAAAAAGAGAAAAAGAAATAAGGTAAGGTGAATGAATCTTGGCAAATTAGAGACTGCAAGGATAAATATGGTAACTAGGAACCAATGTGAGAGAATGCCTGTGGCACCCTACAATGTAAACTATAGTTTTCTTGAAGTCTTTTTCATAGACCTAAGTCCCAAGATGTGCTATGTGGGTGAAATCATTTCTCAAGGCACAGTAGCCATGGTTATTGGCAGTGTATAATCTATGGGAACATAGTTTCCTTGGACAATGGCTTTAAAAGTCTTGAGGTTACCATGGCGACACTGCTGCTGGCTGCATACAACCTCTCACTCATGATCTCCTGATCTAATAGCCAGGGCACTTATTGCCTGAACTCTCAAATGAGGTGTTCTTTTAGCAGACTTCTTTTTAAAAATTTTCTCTAATAAATGCATTAGCCTGTATTCTTATGGCTTCAGTAAAACCAAATACCAGGAGAGAGATTTTGTTGTTGTTGTTTAAAACTTATTGTCTCTATTTAAAATGTTACAACCTAATTAAATATTTTCTTGTTCCTTGATCTGCTATTTTCCTTGTTTTGCTTCACTATTCTCATAGAAACCATGAGACACTTGGGGATCTTAGACTTTTTTCCCCATCTAATGGGTTTTGTTGGCTCTCATTTGTAAGAACTCTGACTGTAGGGGATTTTAAATTTTATTAATGCCCATTTAGACTGTTTCTCTCACAAACAGGTAGGAAAATTACAGACTTTCGACACCAGGATACTTTAGAATATGCTTTTACTGTAGATCCTTTTCCAGATGGTCCCTCGGTTTCTAGAATCTAATGACTATCATGAACACTTGTTGACTTAAAAGATAATCATATTGTAGCTTGCAATCACATTAGTAGTTTGAAATGGGAGTGTATATACACCATGGCAATCCTAATGCTGCCTAACAGGTGCTCTGTACCCTCAATGTTAATAATTTACTGGCACTCCTATACCAATCACTCATTATTTTGAAGAGGAGAGGGTATTGGACAGGCTTCTTAGTCTAGATTCCATATAATCATTAAATAATGGAAAATGGAAAACAGGAAGTATTACAGTGCACAGTGCTCCTAGTTTGGCTTAATAATCTGTATTGCCTTTAAACGATATGAAATAAAATTTGGGATGGAACTTTTGACTTTTCATAATAAATGTGAAAAATTTTCAAGTGACTATAATTTTTTGGGGGACAGCTTACACTAAGTAGCGCAGATTGGCCTTGAATGCTTGATTTTCCTGCCTCCACTTCTCAAGTACTGAGATTATAGGCGATTGTCACCATGCCTGCTATAGCAGTCACATTTTGAAAAATTTTAGATTTTATTTTTATTATTTGTGTGTATATGTGCACATGTGCATTCATGCACATGATGTATGTGGGCATGTACATGCTATGGCACACATGGAATTAGAGGACAACTTTTGGGAGTCAGTTCTTTCATTCCACCATGGGTTCTGGTGATTGAATTTAGGTTTTTAGACCCTGAATAGTTTTTCACTTCATCCATTTCTATATGTAGCTCAGTATTATTGCACTAATATTATTCCTACTGTCATTCTTTTCTCCTTCACCCTAATATTCCAATTAGTCTTTCCCCCTTATATACATTTATCTCTGTAGTAAGCTCCATTTCGTTCATACCAAAGAGTATAACAATAAACAGGTACTAAGATAGCATCTAAAATATAAAGCTAAATGTAGGTTGAAAATAACTTTATACAAACATATATTTCCTTACTCTGAGAGCAGAAGGGTCCTAGAAGCAATGGCACTCTAGTAACAATGAGCATATATAGCATCACATCTTAGTTTCTAATAGTCCCCCAATAAAAACAGACTAAGGTTTATTAGAGAAATGGCTGGTTCTGAGGTTAGGACAGGCAGGGAAGATAAGCCTGGGACATCTGTGTCATCAAAATGTAAGGAAGTACATTCAGTGTGTGCATCTCTCTCTCCTCTTGCCTCCTCTCTTCTCCTCTCTCATCATCTCTCCTCCTCTCTCCTCCTTTCTCCTCTCTCCTCTCTCCTCCTCTCTTCTCTCTCCACTCTCCTCCTCTCTCCTCTCTCCTCTCTCCTCCTCTGTCCTCCTCTCTCCTCTCTCCTCTCTCTCGATAGGGGCATTTCAAAGGGCACCCAGAAGCCAACTGAAAGAGGTCAAGGTTAATAGTTTGAATAACTTAGCAATAAATAATGTAGTATTGGATTATACTGTGAAATATAAAATAAGTGTCGGTGAGTTCATAGTAATATTTTGATTAAAAAAATAAATGTGGAGGCTGGGCGTGGTGGCGCATGCCTTTAATCCCAGCACTCAGGAGGCAGAGGCAGGCGGATCTCTGTGAGTTCAAGGCCAGCCTGGTCTACATAGTGAGTTCCAGGACAGCTGGGGCTACAGGGAGACCCTGTCTCAAAAGGAATGAATAAATAAATAAATGTGGAAAAAATATAAATCTGCACTCAGAAGAATTCTAAACAATCAATAGGGATACCTTCCCCTCAAAGTGGTAGAATATAACTTCCTGTTATTTAAATGCAATATATGCTTAGCCTTCCTTCCAAAGAATACAGTAAAAAATGAAAGAGAGTAAGAAAATTTATAGTGGTGAAACCTGAGAAATCTTTGCTTAGCTAGGTGATCAGATCATGATCAACATCAACAATCAATTAAACTGGTAATGTGTTTCTGTGAGAAAATACTAATCTACAGCATGGTTTCAGCTTTTCTGATGTTATGATTTTGGATTTGAAATGTATCTTATATGGAAGACTTTATTTACAGATAAAAACCTATTCTCAGCTTTAGGCCAAAGAATGAAGTTAAGTACAGTTCCTACATTCAGTATCTTGGAATCGACTGGGAGAAGCCACCTAGGAACCATACAATCCAGATACAAATCATAGGAGACAATCATAAAGGATTTTAAGTTGAGAAAAGTTTAGATATCTGAGGGCTGGTGTCTGCATGGAATATTTGCAGGAAAACATATTCTTCTGTTTATTTAATCGTCAGGGTTTGGAGCGTGGTGGGCAAATGCTCTACCAATGAGCCATGTCCTTGTTTATATAATCAGGATTTGTTGAGGAGGACAGGACCTCAATGATTCTCCAAGTGTGATTTGACTATTCCCAGAAAACAAGATACTCATTTTTTAATTACCATTTTTCCAACCAATCTGAAATACAAGATGACTATACTATTCATTTTGGGAACCTTTGTGATAGACAATAATATTGTTGGTGCAACTTGGTTAGTCAGAATTTCTTAAGCAAATTAGCAAGGTCAATGGATTGCCTTTAGTATGTTTTATTCATTTTCAGGATAGACCTGGTCAAATATGTGAATCTGAATGTTAATGTTTCTTCTATTTTCCCTTCAGGATTGGCTGCTGCCAAACTCTTGTCTGAACATGAAATTAATATCTTGGTTTTGGAAGCTCGTGATAGAGTTGGAGGAAGAACATATACTGTGAGGGTAAGTGATTTTAATACTTACATAGCATCTAACTTAAAACTACAAATGGGGCCATTTGAAGTCACAGCTCTGAAGGAGATCTTGTAAGTTCATATAGTTAAGCCATTTGTTCTCTAAGGCTCTAAATTACTTCATCAAATAAGTAATATTTTCTTTCCTTTATAGATTTATGTATTTATTTTTGAGACGGTGTGTTTCTCTTTATCCAAGACTGTGTTTGAACCCACTATATAGTCTTAGATGACCTCAAATTCATCCTCTTACCTCAATCCTCCAAGTGCTGAGAGTATAGGCATACACTGCTATGCCCAGTGTGATCATTCTTTTTCAAGAAACACTCACTGAAGAATGATAGCCTCTGAATATAACCACTCACATTGTAGTGAAGACAACAAATAAGAACTAATACCTTATATGAAGTGTCATAATTTCCATACTAGAGACCCAAATTGAGTGTGTAGTATCTAGATAGTGGTATAGTTTTGCTGGACTAAAAGTGATTTTATATCTCCAGTACACACACACACACACACACACACACACACACACACACACGTGCACGCTCTATGTTTCTTGTTTATTCAACAGTATGCAGCTTAAAGAAATGTAGTATCTATAGTAAGCAGGAGAAAGTATGCTTCATTTTTGTGCACTTTGTTCCCTTGGCCTTGTTGCTCAGGATGGAACTGGCTAAATAGAAGGGAAAAGCATGTAGGGTGCAAAGGAAATAGGGCCAAAGATAGTAAGTTAGGGGGCATATAATGAAAAGGGAGGCAGATGTTTCAGTTACACCTATAATAGAATGTCCTAGGAAGTAAAAGTAATAGTCATTTAGGCAATGAAACACAGTCATTTCACAGAAGTTTGGTGATAAGTAGTCCACACTGGTTCATGGGTTCAAGGCTTCAGATTCTTCTTGTCCCTTTGTTCTACCATTCTTTGCATGTTGGCATATTGCCTTCGGGTAACAAGATAGATGCTGTGGCTGTAAGCATCAAGTCTTCCAAGGAATAAGAGTTTCTGGGCCCTTGTGACTCACATCAGTAATCACAGCACTTGAGAGACTGCAGCAAGTGAACCATGAGTTTGAGAGCATCTTGTACTACATAGTGATATCCTGTCTTAAAAACAAACAAAACAAAAGGAATAGAATAAAAGAGCAGCTCCATCCTTGGCTTCAACAGATCTCTTCATTTTCAGTAAACTCCAGCAGACATTTGCTTTCTCCTCATTAAGCAAAGGTAGGCCACATGACCTCAACTGTAGGGGAAGCCTGGGAAAGCAAGTATTTAACATTTCCAGATGCAGGCATAAAAAGGTAATTGGAATGGTTATTGCAGTAGTCATCTGATGACATCTGAAGTAGAATATAGCTCTTCCAGTCATACCATGCCTTATACTCTTTCTATTATTTGCAACCTACCTTACTAAATACATTATATATAGGCCTATTTCTACTTTGATCAGCTCTAATAATGTGTCCAAAGCCTTGATACTCAAAATGTGATCTGTGGACCTGTAGCCTTGGAATCTGGTGGGAACTTGGGAGAAATACAGATTCTTAGACCTGCAGAATTTGCGTCTTTGAGACAGGGTCTGACTGTGTAGCCCTGGCTAGCCTGGAACTTACTGTGTAGACCAGGCTGGCCTCAAATTCATAGAGATCCATCTACCTCTGCTTCTGAAGTGCTGAGATTAAAGCCAGGTGTCACCACGCCTTGATACATGGTCCAGGCTGGTCTTGAATGCCAGATTCTTCTGCCCCAGCTTTGCGAATGTTGGAATTATAAGCATGTACCCCCATAACCAGTCTGTCTTCAGACTGTAATTGAAAGCAGTGTGTGGCAGTGCAAAAGAAGAGTTGAATACTCTGCTTATATTCACTTAGTAGATGTGATTCCTCTGTCATTTTCTGAAAAATATTTCTTCATTTTGGAGATAGTTTTACTAAGATGTCCCTTAGCCCTACTTTTCTTATCATTTAGACCTTTTGCTTATTAAGTAGGAACATCAATCATGTTGTACATTACATTTTCAGTTAAAAGCAAGTCATATAAAGGAAATGAAATTCTAACATGCTTATCCCATCCCATTCCAATAGGCCTAGGCTATTTAGCCATGTTGTGCCATTTATATGTGTCAGCAATAGACAAGAATCATTAGTGTCTATTCAGCATTGTACCATATACCTCTTCAGTGTATGAGAAAAGAATCTTGGAAATAATCAGAAATGAGCACTTAGCATTTATATTTCAAATAATTTGAGGTAATAAAAGAATGCTTTAAGAAGGGGCAAAATGGTATTTAATAGGAAGCTGAATCAAGTATTATCATAATTGGTTCAAAAAACATAATCGATTAGGATAATTGTGGAAGAAGAAACCATACAAACTACTCTGGGTCTCAAGTAACCAAAATGTCAATTTGATATTATCACCTGACTTCTTCAGACAGATTTTCCATAAGTTCAGAATTTCCCAATTTTTCTTAATCGAGCCATCTATAATTTTACAGAATCAAATTAATAAAGTCTAAATGCCTGCAGGGTGAAAACAAGGTTGATGTATTTGTTTCCTAATAGTTACATGTCTAGGGCCTCTTAGGCTGAGTAATAATATCTAAATCAAGACCTTAAAGACCAAGTGCAACATAGCAGAATACCTCATTATACTTCTTAGTGTCATCCTGTAGAGCTCAAAATATCTCATTTATAGCATTTCTGCTTTTAAAAGAAACATTTTTTTAAATGCTTCACTCTTTTTACTACTTAATCTAGGGATTGTTTGCTTTAAAGTGAGCATCAGTATTCTAAAGACATGTTTGGAAACTCCCAGGAGTCCTCTTGCTGTCTATGTTAACAGCCTAAAAATGTATTGGTGTACTGGCTCTAGTTTTATTCTTTAAAAGGATGTTTGAGACTAGAGAAGCTTTGGGGGATGGTATTGATGGTTAATAAAAGAGAATATGATGGTTATGACGGACAGATTGAAAAAGGTGAATATCCCTTTATTACTGCTGCTATGACAGAATAGAAACCCTGAATAACTCCCCTATTGAAATAAGTAAATTGCCAACTAAAATACACCGTACTGATATGCCAGAGATGTTAGAAATTTGCAGATACTTGGGGCTGGAGCGATGGCTCAGTGGTTAAGAGCACTGGCTGCTCTTGCAGAGGACCTGGATTCGATTCCCAGCACCCACATGGCAGGCAACAACTGTCTGTAATTTCAGTTCCAGGGGCTGAAAAGCCCCTTCTGACCTCTGTGGGCATTGCACAGCATGGATGCATCTACCTATGTGCAGGCAGTACACTCATACACATAAAATTAAAATAAAAAATAAAAATAAATTTGAAGAAATTTGCAGATACTGATGTTGAACAGCCATCTCAAAGTAAACCATCCAAATGGATTATTTGTGTGTGGTGCTGGGGATGGGAGCCAGAATATGTTAGGCAAGAGCTAAATCATTGAGCCACAACTCTTTAGCTAAAGTACAGTCTTGATGAGAAACATCAAAAGTTCAATTTGTATATACTTTAAGAAAGTTCTAGAGTGCTAGATTTCCGTATGGCTTTTTCTAAAAGCCTTTAGTGTTAGTTATCCCTCCACATACTTCCTTCTCTGTCCCGCCCTCCCATTCCCATCCCTCCCTCCAAAGGGACAGGGATCATTGAGGCAGAGTTAGCAGAAAGATTGTACAAGCCAGAAGTGGTGGATGACCACAAGGAAACAGAGTTTTCCAGACAACTGGAAAGTTACTTTTATGAACTGGTAACAGGATGCACAAATACCGTGTAAACTCAAGCCAGACAAAATCCTAGCATAGATGTGGGGAAGTGGGTAGGAAACCCCCACCCCACCTGAGGAACTATTGGAAACAAATGGCTGCAGGAAAGGGGAGAGTCATTCTCTTTTAAGAGTATATAAAATTAGGCAAAGGGTAGTTAGGAAGCTGCAGATAGAGAAAAGGATCTAAATATGATCAAGTGTATATTGTATAAAATTCCCAAAAATTCAATAAGAAGGAAAAAAGGTCAATCTAGGTCTGTGTAGATCTGTTTTACCTATCAGAGTCTGTATATTTCCAACTGACTATTTAGTGCTTTGAATAATATTGTAAGATAAAGATGGGCTGCCTAACTGAATTTCCAGAGACTTTCAGATGCTATGGCCTACAAACATGGCCCTTTCCCGAATCATAGCTCTAGATTTACCTTTTATTTTTCTAAAAAAAATTCAGTTAGGCAGTTTATCTTTATGTAAAAATATTATTGAGGGGCTGGAGAGATGGCTCAGTGGTTAAGAACACTGACTGTTCTTGCAGAAGACCCGGGTTAGAATCCCAGCACCTACATGGCAGCTAACAACTGTCTGTAACTCCGGTCCCAGAGGATCCGACAGCCTCTTCTGTCTTCCACAGGCATTGCATGACTCAGGTGCACTTATCTACCTGCAGGGAATGCACGCATACACATAAAATAAAATAAAAAAACAACAAATAAAATATAAAAAATATATTGAAAATATTAAATAAATTAGCAACTGGAAATGCAAAAAATATATTCAGCCAAGACTTAAAGTCTTTATGTAAAAATAACTAAATAACATCTGTCTCATTAGTAAGCAAATTTGTTTTCATCCTTAATAAGTGGCAAAATTACGGGGATGCTGTTTGGAAGTAGATTTCTTCATAATTTATTTTTTTAACCAAACGCTGTTTGAAGGGCTACTGATGTGACTCAGTGGTAGAGCAATTGCCTACTATGCTAAAGGCCCTATTCCATTGCAAACACTGGGAAAATAAGGATCCTGCATTAGGAAATCTGCCAAAAATTGGAGTCTTGCTCAATATTTCTAGATCAGCATACATTCTGTTCAAAACTTCTTTTGCTATTATGTTCAGAATACTTTCAGAATTCATTGCTTCCTACTGTTGCCACTGCTATGCATTGTGGGACCCACCATCACCTCTAGCCCAGGTTACTGCTGTAGTTTTCTAACTGATTTCCCTATTTTTACTCTGGTTGCTGCTAATCAATTCTTCATGTAGCAGCAGTGAAGTGACCTTTCAAATCTGACTCATATCTTAGCACTGCTCAAAGCGTTCTAAAGGCTCGTCTGCTGTCTTGGATAAAAGCCAATGTCTTTTCAGTGTCCGGTGAGGCTTTTACCCTACCAGCTCTCTGATTGACTCTCTTCCTTGTTCATTTTGTTCCTGCCCAGTGAAATATATGTATAAAGAGAGATTTTCAACCCCTTTCTTGGGTTTGGGTTGCAGTGTAGAGCTAATAGTAAATTGCAAGAAGAATGGGTCATGTGTGCTTTTCCTCCTGACTTCAAATCATCTCAGATACTGAAAAGAAATGAAATAAAGTTATCTACTATTGTTAGTGTCTTGTAAGGCTTTTCTGAGAAAAAGATCTGTTAGCATTCAAATTATTTCTGCATGATTTTCAAGTACATTAGTTGCTACACAGTAAAAAATAATGAGGCAAGTAAAGGTAAAAAGGCAACATGTGCATACTAAAACTGATACAAAATAAAGATAGAAATCAACTCAAAGGAAGTTAGTACAAATACATAGAAGAGAAATAGGTCACCAATATTCAATTTGTTGATTAAATCAAATGTGTTAATAAAAAAGCTTCAGAATGTGCAGAGCTGCATTTAAGATGGGAAAAGAAAATATTTGTAGCTTCTGAGTGTTTGTATATTTCTAAATAGTTTAGTAGGTAAATGAATCATTTTATACTTTTTAAATATTCTTTTCCTATGATGTATTCTTCCTTGGAAGCGTTTTAAAGTATCACCAACAGCCCATGAATGTGGACTGATTTAAGATTTCATCTGGTGGAAATCAGGGAATTAGGATTAATACAGCTCTGGGTGACTTCTATACCAGTAACTCCAGAGAAAAGCATAATTTAAGCGGTTCTGCAAAGGATCTAGATCTGCAGAGTGTTCTTTATATGCTGTATTGCTGAATCAGCCTCACCTATAGCTCTACAAATGGATCTGCTTAATGAACTGTCAGCCAATGTTGTGCCCTAGTTCTTGAATGGAAGAGAAAAGATGTCTAGCTTCTTATGTACTTTATAAGGGACGTGTAAGACACAATTGAGTTAGTAAAATAAACAGTTTTTATGATAAAAAGATTTCTTGATTCCAAGGCTTAAGTAAAGTTTTCTTACCATTTTTTCTCTGTCTGCAGAATGAGCATGTTAAATGGGTAGATGTTGGCGGAGCCTATGTGGGACCAACCCAGAATAGAATCTTACGCTTGTCTAAGGAGCTAGGCATAGAGACTTACAAAGTGAACGTCTCTGAGCGCCTAGTGCAGTATGTCAAGGTAAGCCTGACTTTTTACTTATGTGATCAATGTATGAACATTTTATTTGAGAAAAATTTGATCTGTTTATGTTACATTTTTTCATTGTTTATATAGACCACATTTTCTTCATTCCACTGTTTTTGGACTACTTAACTATTATGAATAATGGTGCAATACATATTGATGTACAAGTACCTCTGTGATATTTTGACATGGAGTCCTTTGGGTACATACTCAGACTCCATGCCTGGGCCATATGGTAGATCTATTTTTAGTTTTTTGAGAAATATTTGTTTTCTGACTGGGATAAGATGGAATCTCAGTGTACTTTTAATATGCATTTCTTTGATTGCTATTATATTTCATGTTTTGAAAACCATCTGTTCATTTCATTAACCCATTTATTGATTGGATTGTTTGATTTCTTGTTGTTTAGCTTTTTACATTCATTTTTTATTTAAAATATTTTATTATTTTTATTTTATGTATATGAGTGTATTGCCTGCATGTATGTAAGTGCACCTGTGCCATGCAATGCCCGAAGAGGACAGAAGAGGGTGTCAGATCCCCTGGAACTGGAGTTATAGATGATTGTTAACCACCCTGTGGTGCTGGGATTCGAACCTGGGTCTTCTGCAAGAACAGCCAGTGCTCTTAACTACTGAGCCATCTCTGCAGCCCTAGGCTTTTGACTTTTAAAATATCTTTTTTCTTTAAAACAATTCCTAAAAATTCCTATAATTATTGTGGGAGAACATGCCTCAACTTTTCCCTCTCCCTGCTCCCCAGTATAGCCTTCCCAGGCTACATCCCACTCGCCTTCATAGGGCACAGGGAATGGGGTTGCCTGGACAGACACAGACAGATATAGATAGATAGATAGATAGATAGATAGATAGATAGATAGATAGATAGATAGATAGATAGATAGAGACAGATATAGATAGATAGATAGATAGATAGATAGATAGATAGATAGATAGATAGATATAGATAGATATAGATAGATAGATAGAGAGATAGAGAGATAGATATAGATAGATATACATGCACAGACACACACACACACACACACACACACACACAACTTCCACAGTCCCATTTTAGCTTTTGGACTATTTCTTCATCTAGATTCTTTCTTACTCAACATGTCTTTGAAAACATCTTGTTCATTTTCTTTGTACTTGTCTTTTTCTGTTGGAAATTCTACATTTTCCTACAGTTTAGTTGAGGGATTGCTTAAACGCAGTTGCTCATATCCACCTAAGAAATGACAGCCTTTGCCACTGTTACTGTTTCTTCACTGAAGTCAAAGATGGACTTGCCTAAGACTGGAAATGTGCTTTGAGAAATCAACTTTCTGATCTGACATTGCAGGCCACTTCCTGAAATGAGGAGGGGTTATTTATTCATTCCAGTGGCAGGATTTCCATGCCAGTAACTACATGACTTTTCAACAGACACAGCTCGCTCTGGCTGTACTGTGAACAATCACAGTAAGTCTGGAGGCTAAAGCTTTGGCAGTGTCCTGGATGTTAATAATACATGTGATGTATGTGCACTGATGCCCAACCAGGAGGTCAGGAATCTTGGCAAATCTGATAGACATTTGGTTTGGAGATACCTGGGAGAGTCTGACAATAACACATGTGAAAAAAAACAAACCAGTAGCCATTAGACGTACTGAGGGTTCATAGGTTAAGGAAAGAACAAAAATGACAGTTGAGGGTATATCCCAGTGGCAGGGAATATTTGTGTAGCATGTATGAGGTATCAAATTCAATCCCTAACACAATAAAAATTATACACAAAGTTTGGAATGTTGGCTTCAGTAGGCCACAGTCAAAGGGGAAAAACATTTTTGCTTTCCCATTTTCTCTTTCTGCAAATCGTGGTGTTTTCCTAGGATAATAAAGAATAAGAACCATGAGATCAGCTACCATTTATTAACCCATTTTACATTTTCATATTCGATGTGAGAGAGGAAACCAGTTCCTTTGCTCTCTTCTAAATAAACAGTCATGGAAATCTACTCTCCACTCCAACTGGGAAGTGTGATGATTACCTATCTATTCCTCTCTGCAAGTCAAGTGCTAAGAAATATTTATTTCTCCTGGAGGCTAAAAATAAGAACTAAGTCTTTTTTAAGCAGGAACTCATTAAATTCTTAGATCTGCCCAAGACTGTTATGATTATCCCCAGATAACAGGTAAGAAAACAGGTTTAGTGAGGTATAGTGACTTGACAAAGCTATAAGACTAGTAACAATCTACTAATCTCTGTAAGCATGTTCTTCATTACTTCAAAATATAGTCTAGGAAATGAAACCAAGGTGTTGACTATAGGACTACTGAGCCTCTGATGTTTGTTTGGACAAACAGCAGTTATAAGATGTCTCATCATCAGTTTCACTGAAGTCTGCATAATAAACAAGCAGATACAGTTATAGTGAAATATCACTCTTCATTAATTTTCTTAGTCTTCTTCCAGTTCCATGTTCCTTTTTGTACATTTTTAAACTAAAAAAAACTGGAAATTTATAGTTATGTTTTCAACTAAGTACCTGCTGGTCTCCCTGCCCTGCCCATTCCAAAACATGATGCTAAGGTGAGATTTTGAAAGGGGCACATGGTAACTAATTCAACTTTCCAGTATTAGCTTTTGGTTTGTTTGTTTTGGGGGGCACGCACACACGTGTGTGTGTGTATGTGTGTGTGTATGGGTAGATGAATATTACTTGTGCACATGTGTGTGTATATGTGTAGAGGAAGAATTCAGATGTCAAGTGTGGTTCCTCAGTCACTTTCCACTTTGGTTTTGAGACAGGGTCTTTCACTGAACCTGGAACTTACTGATTCAGCTTGACTGGCTGGCTAGCCAGCCAGCCCAAGGATATGATTGTCTACATCTTTCCAGTGGTGGGATTGCAGGTGTGCAATTTTATACCCAGCCTTTTATGTGGGTGCTGGGGTTCTGAACTCAGGTTCTCATGCTTGCATAACAAGCACTTTACTGGTTGGGCTATCTCCCCACCCAGCTTCATTATTCTTTGTTACATTTAGAGAGAGAGAGAGAGAGAGAGAGAGAGAGAGAGAGAGAGAGAGTGTGTGTATGTGTGTGTGTGTGTGTGTACCATGATAACTGTGTGGAGGTCGGAGGACAACTTGAAGGAGTTGATAGTTGATTTTCTTCTTTCACACGTGACTTGGGAATTGAACTCAGTTCATCAGGGTTTGCAGCAAGTACCTCTACCCATTCAGCAATCTCAGCAACCCCTTCCCCCATTATTCTTACTGGAGACAAGATGCAATTAAAATGCAAAAGTGATGTTTGAGAATCTTGACTTTGTAAGTTTTGATTGTATCCTGGCATGCTGTTCAGCCTTCTTGATAGGACCTTATGAGTGAGGTATCTTCTCTAAAGTAGGTGCATAACATCTTTGATAGTTTTGATTCTAAGAAAAATCACAACTTCAGTTTTCAGACAATGAGAGCTACTCAATTCATACCATATTTTTATTTCACAAAAACATAAATATCATTAAGTTGTTACACATATATGACACACTGGAAAAGGCATCTTGTGACTTTGGTCTTGTGAGTTAGTAGTCTGAAGTTATTTTCAATAGTATAATTATTAGCTTGGTGTGGAGGCACACACCTGTAATTCCAACACTTAAGAAAGTGAGGCAGTAGGATGGTAAGTTCAAGGACAGCCTGGGCTATAGAGCAAGACATCTCAAAAGAGCCAACAAAAATAGTTATTAACCTCTGACTCATTGCTATCTCACAGCCATGTATATCACCACGATTAGGTCAGAATTATTGACCATGTAGTCTGTGGCAATTTTGGTGTTAAACTTAATGCTTTCAACTGCATTTTGTACAGCAAGTCAAATCTCTTTCATAAAGCTGTCGTGGTGATGTATGCCTGCAATCTCTGCATTAAGGTGGTAGAAGCAAGAAGTTCAGAGTAGTTTCAGTGACATGAGACCTTGTCTCCAGGAAAAAGTCAATTAATGCTTCAAAGTCAGCACCACTCCCATGATAAGGATGGCTCTGATCTACTATGGTCCATGCCTGGTACCAAAGTTTTCACTCTGGTATGTCACTTAACATGTACTCTTATGGAGGCCCTCAGGCAGGAACTGTAGCCTCATATCACAGAAAGTGTCTAAGCTCAGAGGCCAAGTAACCTGCATGTAAATATGGACCACTAAGCAGGAGTCCAGTCTTTCCACGTTCCATACTGGCTCTTGCTATATCAGGTTCTACTGCAAGGGCCTGAAGACTCCTGAAGCTGTTTTTACAGTTTGTGCTTGCTATGGTTCTCTTTGGTGGTTCTCTTCTAAAGGCGGTCTTGTGTGTTTTCCTGTGTTGTGGTATGTGAAGCTGGTAAGCATTTTACTCTGTAATTTGGCCCAGAATACCTACTAAATACTCACTATAGTGGATGTTCTTACTATGATGAGGAAGCTATAAATAGAGGATGTCATAGTAAATGAAAAGCAGGAAGATGTTTAATTCAGTATTCTAGATAAGATTGTTAATAAATCAAATAGTGAAAACATAACTCTACTTATTTAAAAAATATCTCAACTCCCATTGTTCTCTCTGCTTGTAGAAAAATAAGAATTTTTCCAACATAATAGTATATTGGGTTAGTGATACAAATTTCCTGTATGTCTCTGCATTGGCCTGTGAGAACCCAAGATTCCATAGTCTAAAACAGTGTATTTTTTTTTCTGTCAATGACATCAAAATTATTATAGTGAAAGTGTTTAATGCATGTTAAGAATTTTGTTTTGTTTCTTTTTTCTTTTTTAAAAAGCAACTTTATTTTTATTTTATGTGTATGAGTGTTTGCCTACATGTATGTAAATGCACCATGTACAGGCTGTGCCTACAGAGGTCAGGAGAAGGCATCAGATCTCCTGAAACTGGAGTTACAGATGATGTTTAGCACCATGTGGGTGCTGGCAACCAAACCCAGGTCCTCTATAAGTATAGCCAGTGCTC